TAAATGAAGCCCGAAACACCAGCTCTAACAAATATTTTGTACCCCCATTTGCGAGGCTTGCTCTTTATGTATTGTTTTCGATTACCGGCTTTTTTGCCCTTATATGGCACCATCATTTCATCAATGCTGAACCTGGTTTCATGAGGAACTCTCAAAAAGTTGGCACGTACTTTTTCAATGAGTGGCCTCTAACTTTAAAATACCGATCACCGTCATCAAGCAGATTGTCGTTGAAGTGGATGTACCGTCGTATCTGTTGAAATTTTTTGAGTGTCATAACATCAGCTATTTGTGAAAATCTGAATTCCTGACACCAATAGTCAGTGTAGGCCGGCATATTCACGATTCCCATTATCAAATTTATTGCAATAAAATCTTTGATGTCTTGTGTTGAAAAATTAAGAGAACGACCAATTGTTTGAGTTGAGTAATTGCTTTGCTCTGTAATCATGTTAAGGATGCCATCATCAAAGAAGTATTGAAAATATTCTAGTGGTGTTTTTATGGTATCTGAAGGTAACTGTTTATCGTGTATTTCGGCGTTATGTTCAAATTTCTTGTTATTCCAATGGAATTTCAGTTGCTTTCTTTGTATAGGTGCAAGGCGCCTTACAGCTAGCCGTGGCTGTTTTGAGCGTGTATTTATATTTGACGGCGATGGTGAGGCTGCTACTATTGCTGGCGATGACTCTGGTGTTTCAGGCACTATTCGGTTAAATCTAGGCTTTTTATTTCGAATAACATTTACAATGGCAGTTGGTGAAGGAGGTATGACCGAGTGAAGAGAATCTTGAGTTGAAGAATTCAAAGAAATACTTTCAGACGCTGGTTTCATTGATACTGTAGGGCAGGAAGTGAGGTTGTTTTCATCGTCAGAAAGTATGTGAAGATTTTCAAGAGAAGAAGGAAGCGAAGGAGCAGATGAAGATTCAGTACTATCGCGTTTTTGAAGATTAAAATTCTCGACTTCACTACTAGAATCCGAACTTTCTTCATCATTTGATGACTGACTGTGTTTTGGCACCAATGTGAGTATTTTGCTAGCTCTTGAAAGCATATGGACCTACAATTAATATATAAAATAAGCCATGCATAGCCATATGAACAGTTATTCAGCTTGGCAGTGTGCACATACAGATACATGAGGATTTTGTAAAAGTTGTTAGTAAAGCTAGCAGTGTGTACCATGAGATACATATCAAATATATATAGAATTGTTAGTTTCTTGGCAATGTGCACGAGGAGATACATTCATTAAAAAAGTCACATGAAGCATCAACCAGACAATTAAAGAATGTCCAAAGTAATTATTTTAGTGCTAAATATATCTATAATTAATAACTTAACACATCCACTCCTTCAATACATTATAACAAGAAAAAATCATAACTTTTCTTACCTTTTTGCGAGACAACATGTCGGAACTTGAACTAAAGTGAAGTTTGACAGCTCATCAGCCTGACCAACACAAAAAACTTAAGTTGCGTTCCGAAACTAAGAAATGGCCTAAATATTCTTAAAAAAATATCATGGTTTCGTTTAAAAATAATAACACTAGATTTTTTTTAATTCTGATGTATCTGTACAGATACACTAACAAGAAAAGGGTTAAGAGAGTACTAAGAGATTTTTATTTCATTTTGTAAGCAGACATAATCTTCGAAGAATTCCCGGCAAAGCGTCTTAAGAATGCAAGAAATGGGACAATGCGGTGACAAAGTGCTTTGTGCGTCGTCGTACGAATGTGGTTTAATCTCGTTCCCAAGGTCCGAGGCAGGCGCGGTGGCGGTCGCCTGGTCTGCGGGCTGCGGGCGCCCCGCAGGAATGCGCACTAAATCATCGCGTATATCCGCCGCCGCCACGCCGCCATGCAACTCGGCTGCCGGGCCCCCGCTAAGAGTTTTCGATCCGCACTGTACTCGCTACCCGCTAGCCCGCTACCGACCCGTATCCACGCGATCCACTCGCCACATACTTACGTGTCCCATTCATAAAGACGACCGGTTAACTATTGCTTTTATAGTAAAGGAAGCATAAAGCTTTCACTTTTATTTAATTTTTCGTTCTCTTCAATCTATAATATTTAAAAAAATGTTACAATGAAAGATTCACTTTTTTCTGTCCCGGAACATTTTGTTAAATAACATAGAGCTTTCTTTGAACCTTTGAATTCTAATTTGGTAATATATTTGTCGTACAACAAAAGTCAAAGGCAAAGCAAGGTACATTTTGTCATTTGTTATTAACTAATCTCCCTTAATCGATAAGCATTGTTTAAAAGGATGTAAACAATAAGGAATAACGTATCATTATGATTTAACTAATTGCACGGAGGCCTCGATCTCAAAGCGCCGCCGACACACAGGCCCCATTGTCCGCTCCGTGCGCCGATAGCCTCGCTACGAGCCGCACACACGATCTTAATTAACTTATAAACGCGAGATAGACAAGGCACAATGACTTTACTATATACGATACTCATCTGCAACAAATAACAGACATTATCGCAATTTTATTCGAGGAATGTCTCTAACGGCTCAAGAAACGTGAGTGCTAAAACTTCTATTTTATCCGTCAACTCATTGAAAGCTCATTAAAAGTTATAGACAGTACTCGAACTCACTACAAGAAAGAGACGTTAAGTACTTATTCTTTTTATACTTGTTATAAAACTTAGAAAGTTGATACATTTAACCCAGATTTTTATATAAACGCTTAAGGTTAAAAAACTTGGAAACTTCAAATATATAGAAAAGAATATAGGTATGAATTACGGATTTACTCCCTCTCTTACGAATAAACCTTACGTATTCATTTGTTATTCTTTATAACATCTATATCATATATGTACATTATCTTTCTTTTATAATATCTATTTTTATCACACTAATGAAGTCCATTGACTAAAAGCTTTAAAATCACAAGCGACATACGATACTGTGAAAGAATGCGTCACTACAGATATCGAGACGTGTTAGTTTTTTGTTTTACCAATAGATAAAATAGATTAAGTTGACAGTGAACTTGGGGCGATGTTTACCAGTGTGTCGGCGGCCGCGTGGGCGCAGGCCCAGCACTTGCGCTTGCGCAACATTCGGGAAGTCTCTCAGTGTCGGTGTGCGCCCGCCGCGCCGCACAGCCCGTGGCGGCGCTCGGACCATCACACATTAGCATTCTACCGTTAACCACACTCGCCAAGGCAAACTAATGATGTCATACACACAAAACAATAGCGATATAACTGCACAGGGGGGCTAGCACTAACAAAGTAATCAATCAACACTTTACGAACTCTTAAACATGACTTTAACAATAAAGTTACTATTTGAAACTAGTTATTTTTAATTTTTATACGGTTTGTGAATGGCCAGTAAAAAAGTAAACAACCTTTTTGAATCAATGTTATTTGACATAACATTGGTGAATACACCCCTGTGTTACGGAAGTCAAGTTACAATCCGCATAAATGAATACGAAAGTAACAAATACAATTTTTCCATAGTTGACATAAACTGACAAAATTGCAACCAATTAAAATATTTATTTAAATTAGGTATTTGCATAAGAAAATTTTCGGTTAAAATTGAGTGATAACAAATTGTTTATTTCAATAGATAAACTTAACCTTCTCCGTAGAATATTTTTTTATTTATCTGTCTATATCTATATCCTATAGATTTAATAAAATTGCAGTGTCTGTATGTGTATCAAAGAGTCATATTTTGCGAACATTGGATTGAATGACAATTAATTTTCATATTTTTTCTAACGATAATCCAATTCTTATCATTTATGTTCTCTGTCTATCAGTCTGTTTGTAAATCCGCGCTTGTTCCGAATCAGCTTGGCCGATTTTTATGTTATTTACACTATACGATAGCTGATATATGCAAGAGTAACTTAGACAAATTATTTATTATCTGACGAAGTCGTGAGCGACCTCTAGTGTTACATTAAATTAACAATTTAATACAAAAAGTGATCAATGTTTACATTATGTTTGTAAGAAGTGCATTACAATGATAACACTATCATAGCATAGCTGATAACACTGCTCTCTCCCAAATGACCTGCGACTCCTCAGTTCCTGAGCGACGTGACATCCCACATTATCATTTCAAGCTAAACACACTATTCATTATGGCATTACAACACAACTATAGTGTTTTCTTTGCAAGGATTAAGTTTTCCTCAATAACTATAACACATTCTTTAAGTAACAATAATTAGTATTGAATTTTTAATATGATTTATAGCAAGATTATATTGTAAATTATCTTATTCTTATTTAAAACACAGTAATAATGTTTAGAAAAGCTAGAGTTATTGTTAAGGATATAATTATATTGTAAAACTTTGTTTGTTACTTAGATTAATAGATAGCCCCGTCTTAGCAATTGGTTATCTGACCACAACTACTTGATATGCATGTCATGGTTGCCAAGACCTCAGATAGAATCCCGGAATTGATCTATTTCAAAGATTCCGTAGAAATATATCAAATTTTATGATATATGTGATTTAGATAGAACAGTGAGGACGAATGTAAAACGAAAAGTTGATGATGTCAACAGTAAAATAATTAACATTGTTAGTAATTAATTACGTAAATTAAACGTATAATGGTTGATATGAGTTCCGTGTTTCGTATAAAAGTTGATCCCTTATTGTTGTTATCGAAAAATTTCATAAGTGAGTGATAAGTTTTATTTTCCTTGTTGATCTTTCATAACTTTAAAATGTTAGCGCGAAAAAAACCGTATGTGAACAAGTAACGATAGTTGTGTGTTTATAATCGGTCTTCGTAATTAAATTCTTAAAATGTAAATGTTCTTGTGGATGTAGCGAATCTCCCTGAACTTCCACAAGTTTGATTATCTGCATAGCAGGCATAGTTTTTTGTATATTTTTATTTCTTGAAATGTGTTCTAAAACCAATGCCAGTAAAATATAATAAATATTAGTAATTTATGTATCAATATGAATATTACATTAATTACCTGCGATATAAGATGCAGCGGCTCGCTCACCCTGCACGCGGGCGGCGGAGACTCATATCCCCACAAACAGTTCCAAGGCATTTTCCTTCATTATTTTATAAATAAATATTTTGTTACTTTTTCTTAAATTGCAATATAAAATTCTATGACCCAAAAACTCTTGAATAGTTCTTTATTTTGCATATGAAACTGAATTTAATTACACGGTGGAAATTAGGGTTTTTCTCTATTATTGTACTCAATAGTGTCTGTCGGAATAAGAGTGTGCGCGGCAACGGCAAGTGAGTTAAGCGAGCGACGTTGAGCTCGACCTGCGGGCGACTGAGCCGCGAGCCCCGAGGTGCGCACAGCTGATGTGCTCTCCCATCCCTCACAGTCATTCTATAAATTTTACTTTTTACAAAAACCCGTCCTCGATTTCGTAACCATAGTATTGTTGACGGGATAACAACGATTAATTTAATGACAGGAACAACGTAAACATTTCAAAGTAACAACTGTATACCTTAGTAGATAACTACTGTTATTAGAAAAGAGTTTGTTTTTGATGCTGATAATTATTGTAATTTGGTAACAAACGTTACCGGTTGATTGGGTTAAACAAAAATTCTTATACGTACATATTCTGTTTCAAACAAAATAATTGTTGTCGGCTTAAAATAGTTTAGGTTTTCTATTGTTTTTTAAAAGCTTGAATAGGTAGATAGCACACATACACATTATTCAAGGTCAATTACATATTGGATAAAATGAATACTAAACCACAAAGTACACAGAAGGAGTAGTCCTTAAACAGAATAGATAGACGGAACACCCGCGGCACGTATATTTTTATAGCCGGACAGAACATTAACATGCACGCATGATTCTAAATCCATTAAAAGCAATCAGTTATATTATTGAACTAAATACCAGAATTATCTTACAATTATTGTCCCACTTTAACTCTCCAATAGAAAATGTCGAACGGGAATCACTTAGGATGCTTTTGTAATGGGTTCATTGACTATATTTTGAAGACGTTATAAAGTTATAAACAATTCAGTAGTGTATCATAAGTAACTAGAATAGTAATGACTCGAAGTAAGTTTTATGTATCAATATATGTATAAACATCATTCATATATGTATAAACAAATCTGTTTTATATTTATCAATCCAAAAATATAGAGTAATTTAAACTAATTTAGACGAAAATTGAACTTATAAGCTAGATCTTTAGTTGAGTGTGACACTGAAATGTTTTTGCAAAATATAAATTGATAACAAACCTGACTTATATTCTGCAGAAGTAGAGTGGCAGCGACATGTTGCTGCCGACTTTTGGACCATGGACAGCTCCAAGACATTTTTAAAAGATTGTTTCCGCAGTTATATTTACATATACCGTACGTTTACCAATAATTTTAACATAGTTATTACTCGGTATGAAATAAATAATTGTAATAAGTCATTTAAAACAAAGTTATAGTTATAACACAAATAAAAACAATAAAATTCGTTGTGGAATAAAATTGCGTCGTAAAACCGAATACTGCGTGCAACGGGATCCGAGAGCGTACGCATGCGTGCGTACGAGCGGCCGAGCGCGTCGGGACTGGGACTGGGAAGCCCTGTTCCAGTTAGCTCCCGTGTCCCGTGCGTTTGTCGCAACCCCTCCATTGAATTAACCAGGAATAATATAAAAAAAAATATTTTGTCCTCTTGTAAAATCTCTATCCATTGTCTAAGAAAAGTACGTAATATTATCACGCCCTTAAAAAAGCGGCGTAGGCAAAGACGCTCGGAACAATCGTATTGTTTATTCTAAATTTAGACTCAATTAAAACGTTGGTAGATAATTAAACTGTAATCTGTTACATTGTATTCAATATTGAAATTTGATTTTGTTATCAATATTTGTTTAAAATTTGAATATTTTATGTATACAAATTTAAAACTAACATTTTATTTAGGTATAACAAATGAGGTAATTTCACAGTAATTTCGCTTCACCTCAATGGTTAGTTTACCTTACCTATTAAAACAAGGTGTATTAATTTGAACCTATTAACTGTTAGCAAGGTCAGCGGAGCTCTATCGTTTTACTTTATAGTCGCGTATAGGAATAATTTTTGCTTTATTGGGAAGAGGGTAATGTTTTTCGCGAGTAGCATAAATGTATATCAATTCTATCAGTTAAGCTACGTATTTTGTCGTAGTATTTCATAGGTATGCAGAGTCAATTTTATTAGTTATATAAGTCTGTGGCTAGGTTCTGGTAAAGGTGAGAGAGCCGTCAACAGTAGTCTTGCGGGTACGAGCCTCGTCAGACGGAAAAGTATAACTTCCTCACATAGGAAAAGGATACTTTTCATTACTTCTTCTATTTAATGATATACTCGTCTTACCTACAAAATAATTGTTACTTATCCGTTTATTATTATTGTTTGCTGTGATCACACAACGCAATACTCATTATCAACGAACTCCTTTGAATGGTGTAAAATGCAGGTTCGATTCTCAGTCAATGTTAGGTTTTGTTACCTTTTGACTTTGTCATTAATTTAAACTCTAGATTATCTGTAAACCTGATAAATACGTATGGGCAACGATTAAGAAAAGCCCCTCACATTCCTCAAATTTTATTTCGTAAAATTTTTATTAGGATATTAAATATTCGAATGTAAAAATACTCAAAAAGACTTACCTTTGTACTATACTTCTTTCTGAACTTAAACACGAGCCAATTCAAAACCATTATACACGAAACTGCGATAATAGCAATAGAATACATTAAGTCATAGAAAAAACTTATTGATTTTCTTGATAGCAAAGAAAAAAAACAAGTTAAAGGAAGGATTATAAGGGGTCGAGTATAGAAGCTGCCGCTACAATGATCGAATGTAAACTAATTCAGTAGAGCACTCGGGGCACGGCTCCGGCCGCCATCGAAAGTGAGCTTCGACCTGTTAATGATAATTGATACTAACTAACCCAGATGAAAGTGCATAATACGACCTATTTTCATACTTTATAAATAGCATACTTGCATAAATGTTTAGGAGAAGTAATTAAGTTTTTGTGATCAAGCAATTTAATGATACTTATTATGTTTGTATTTATAATTGTAGTGTAGAAATAAAACCACTCATCATTTAGATATTAATATATTTTCGAATCTAAAATGTACAAAAAAATACAACTTAAAGGTAATGTACTTATAACGCCTGCTTCTGTCGATGATTAAAAGAATGTCGACTCGAATGTGTCGCGGGACAACACTAGAGTCGGCTTCGGTAATTGACCATTACTGCAAAACGACCCGGAACAAGCTATTAGGAACGAAAAATAAAACAAGCCACACTCATACTATACATCTCTGAATTATTTCATTTTAATTATTTATATCTGTTAGATAATTTAATTTTGTATTATTCGACTTCTTTACCAAAAATAATAAATTCGTTTTCACTAATATCAGGGCGGTTGTGTAAAGGCTTCGATAAGACATAGGTGTACCCACACGGTTATACAAATTTCGTTTGTATGTTTTACCTTTGTACATAAACGTAACGACCTATATCAATTTTTATTTTTAATCAACCATCACTTTTATAACAACTTTGGTTGTGTATTCTAGACGTAAAAATATATCGTACTTTAGCTATTTACAAATATATAAACATACATACATACGATGCGTAGAAATGCAAAGCAACACGAGAGGCCTTAACTTTTACTTTCAAGAACTAAATAACACAGACTTAACGACCACCCGCCGGCAAGGATTCCCGCTCGCCGCTCCACCGAGACTAGTGCGAGAGTTGCTAGTACGTGTTCACTACTACGTACTTGTACGATACAATACGATACTCCTTAAAGCTGACAATTATAACCCACCCGTAACACAGTGTCTAACACGAATCACAATTATGGCTCTAAAATTATTACAATTAACACATGAGTTCGCTTAAATCCTTCGGGCGGCTGGCCAATATCTAAAGATCACTCACAATGTTCTAGGAAAACATAATTAGCTTAGATAGATTTAGTGTAACATTGTACACTGCGGCGTGTACATGTGTTACAACTAAACGCATTGAATTCATAAAGAAGCCCTGTTGTAGACGACAGGCCAAGACAAGAGGTACGATTTTATACAAAAAAAATAAAATCAGTAATGTACGGGAACGGGATCACCTCCTTGTGTTAGCGACTGTCATCCATCGATCCTATAAATACATTTATCACACATAATCTTATATAAAGGAATCGCAACGAACCCTTAGGGCCCATTACACTGGTTACAACACACATCTAATGAGATGAAATTAATGTTTACATGGTGCTAATTATGTTTTCCGTATGAAACAAAGATTCCCGTACACATCAATGTTTGCCGACATTGTACCGAGTGATCGCTAATCGTATTCGCTGCTCCCGCACAGAGAATTAGGTGGGCGCGACAGTTGCGACCCCACAACGTTCATCACTGAGCAGTTATGACATAATGCAATCCAAATTTTAACCGTTTCAATGCACTGGATGGAAATTTTGGACCCTAAAAAAATAATTTTTATTTTTTACTCTGTACGGGAGCTAAAACACCTTAAAATTAGAACATTGTCTTACATAAAATTTCGAATAACAGATTATCATATAACATTTTGATATATTGTAGAACAAGTATCTCATGAATCGTAATATAATTAATGTAAAATCTATTAAGCTTACTCGTAACATACTCGACGTATCCACTTAAATTTTGAATGTTCATTAATCTTATAACCGTACTTACTTAATATTAGCAGCCAAATTAAAAGAAATAACGTTAAAAATGAAGGCGGTCGAGAATATAAACATAAAATGTTCCATCCAGTAATGAACTGGATAGAACGGGTGAACGAATAACTTTATTCTCGATACAAAAAATTGCAGAATATAAAGTCGTAAATTTAATTACAAACTAAGATTTGATTTTTACAATGAGGTATATTTTACACCGAGATGAATATCTAAATAAGTTTTTATAGATTAATATTACAATTTAATCAATTGCGTAAAAATTATTTCTATTCTTTAAGCCAATTTAAATTACTTTTATCAAAAATTATGTTTCAAAATCTTAGGAATATCTTTCGTTGATGATTTTATTGACCAAATAGTTTTTGTAACATTGTTTTCGCCAAAAATGTAGGCTCCGATAGTAATTAATTTGACAATCTTGTACGGGCAGTGATATTGAGGAGAGACATAAAACATAAATGGAAAAGCGTACTGTCAACTATTTAAAAAAAAATTTTGGAAGACTAAGTTATACCAAGATCTTACGTTTTACTGAAAACCATCTATTCAAAATGTTTTTAATATAAAATATATAAAATAAAAACATCTCAGAGAATACAAACGGTTTAGTTGGATTTTATAAAGTAATTTATTTATAAAGAAATTAAAAAATCAATGAATTTGACTTCAATATCATTTTATTTACAATGCAATGTGTATATAAATCTAATACAGGTTATCATTATATCGACTTAACGCTTTATTTTATACAATTCAATTATCGAATGAATTCGCTAAATCTATTTCATTTTCGTTATAAATTTATAGAATCTTGGTAAAGGTGTTATTGAAAAAATACGTTCATCTTTATATGTTGAGGCACCGATGTTTATTACTGTTCATTGTATTTACATAATGCGGGTAACCGTGGTTTTATCTTGCAATGGACGTGTTCTCATACGAGTCTTTATTACGTTAACTAGATTATCGTAAATCTGTAAAAAATATAGCCTTTGTGTACATTTAACTCTCACCGAGATGTCCAAAACTATTATACGGCATTTGATGCTGTTCCATTTATCGTATCGATTAAAAAAGGCTTTAGTTTATTTGATTTTTTTTTATACATTATGAAGGCAGACTCCGCTATTTTGGATATTTGTCTCGTAGATTGCTAAGGCCATCGCTTGTACTGTATAAAAGTTCCGATTTCATCTGTACGTCTCCCCAACTGAACTAAATGGAATGAATTTGTTCGCTACAATTGTTGTTTATTGTAAAGCTTCATCTCACTATTTATAGCACTAAGAAAATCGAATCATCAACGCGTACTGTTTACATAAAATCGACAAATAAAATTGGTCAGTAGCCTAGACAATGACTATTTCGTAAGGGTATAAAAATATTTATTTATTTCTAAGATATCATGGTTTAATTTGGTTTTAATGGATATTTTATATATTATTTGTACGTTCATCATTAGATTGGTAATAATAATAACACTTTTTTTTTAATTAAGTGTAGACCTATACTCTATATTTCATGTTTGGTGTTTGTAAAATTTTTGTTTTTTTTTTCACTTTATATAAAATATTTTGAACTCATTTACGCAATCCCCAACGATTTCTATTAAGTACCTTTTAAACTGTTAAGTCTTACGTGCCATGACAATGTTTAAATATAAAATGTAAGACGTGTAAGGTAGGTCATTGGTAAACCGGGCGCGCGTAAGTCACACGAGGAAACTAACTCCAAATACAAGCTTGCGTTCATTATAAATATGCTACTTTATAGGAGAAATTGTTTAATTTATTCCGAGCTAATATAAGTTACGTATAAAATCTTGGTTTAGGCAAAAGTTCAAAACTATTTTTTTAATATTTTTTTCAATGGTGGTCCCAAACGCAGGCTTTGTATTGTTATTTAACTTCTTTTTATATCTATTCGACTCTTATATATTCCAAATTACTGTTTCTGTTATACAAAATGAAAATGAAATAAATACGTACTAAAAAAATTAAACTTAAAAATAGAACTCGTAATCTAGAACTGAAGTGTTTAAAGGCCCGGAAACACTAGTACAAATTGAAATGGTAACAATGCATTTAGTTGAAGGAAAAACGGACCTAAAGCTTATAAACATAAGGTCTACAATATGAGATGTCATAAAATATTTGAAAGTGTCGCACATTGATGCTGTTTACATTGACATTTGCAGATTCAAAAACATATATAAATAGACTTTCCAGTATCGAAAACAACTGTACTAAAACTTATTACATCTTTGATTTTTTTAAAGAGAAAAAAAGAAAAGATGATATTTTGTAGATTTGTTTTTGCATTGGAAGTCACAGTAAAATGATATCAAAATATAAAATAGTTAAAAGTTTTACGAACTTTTTTTATTCTTATACTTTTTTAAATATATACTCTAAACAAAAAATGTAATGCAATATAAAATACTATAAACAAAATATTCGTTGCTGCGGTATATAAAATATATAAAAATTTGTACTGTGTAAAAAAAATAGATTTTTTTAAAAGTTTGTAAAACATTCGTTGTTGGAAATTGGATGCTATTATATATGCATTAGTTATATAATTGACGGCTTTTAAATAGAAAATTGACCAATGATACATAAATTAACAAAACAGTACAGAAAAATAAATGAAAAAATATAATTTATGTCATTGTAAATAGCATCAGGTGAGACGTCTTTGCTGTGTCCAGTATTCACGTATAGAAAGTGTTGGAATTTGGTGCGAATTAATTTTATCCAGGCTTAACCTGCTACTTTGAAGCGACATTAGAACATTTTATGTTCCTTTGTAGCTTCACGATTTTTTACCGGACTACCAACCAATATCTTAAAAAAAACAACAAAGGGATGAAAAAAATATCATAGAAATTATGAAAGAATATTTGTAAAGTTTTAATTAATAAATCATAACTTTAAAATTACAAGAAATGTAAACGTAAAAGAAACACAATGACGATGATGTAACAAAATATGTACACTAAAGCAACAGCTATAATTTAACAACACGTTATTTACATACAACATTATTGTTCTCCGAGCACACAGAGGAGAGCCAGGCGACACCTAGGGCGCGCCGCGCATAGCCCGCGCCACCACCGCGGTACCACCGCGGCGCGCCGGGGAAGCGACCGTGCACGCGCCCCGCACTACAGATACAGCTTACTTTGTCATAACAGGTAACATCTGACTTTCATACTATAATACATAACGTTCACAACGCCAAAAAATATGTCATTTATTTCTATACAGTATTGCACGCGGTATGTTTCTATTGTACATCATGTAGGTATACTAGGCGCACGAGTCGATCGAATAGCGGATTATGAATATTTTACTCCCTCACAGGAAGCTACCGTCGTATCTTAGTCGAATCTAAATTAAAAACTATACACGAAGACCGAGAGACCGACGAGCGCAGTTCTCAGAGAACTCGCGGTCGTGCGGCGGTCGAAGATAACTTTACAAATCGAAGTGATCACTAGCTCTAGACTATAATAATAACATCCCAGCGATGGGACGTTCTATAAATACGTGTACTATATTATGCCTCACGGTCGTGAGGCTTACAGCCGTCGAGGTACCACGTAGAGCGTAACTGGGAACGCGCAGGTTCGTTACGTTGGAATCCTAGGGCGCGGAATGACGGGGCGGGGGCGGGGGCGAAAGCATAGGCGCGCGTCACTGCGACAGCAGCTTCTGCAGCAGCGAGGCCCGCGCCGCCGCGCCCTGCCCCGCGCTCGGCCCCGGCCCCGCCCCCTGCCCGGAGCACGCCGCCTCATCACCGCCCGCCGCCGAGCCCGCCTCCGTAGTACTCTGGACATCAAATAATCACATTCAATAAAATCTCTTAGTAAGCGCTATGTCATTTCATTACAGATGTATAAATAACGCTTGTGACGCATCCACTTTTTTTGATAACATTGCTTATGACAAAGATCCTAATTAGAAATTCATTACATGACTATGTTGACATTGAATTGCATTTAACATTATATCACAATGACAAATAGCCACATTTTACAAATACAAAATCGTATCGATGCCTCACTGGCTCATTAAATTATTGTTTATTAACTTTTATTGTTTTAGTGCAGTTATGTTTTAAATGAGTTTGGTTTCCTATTCCAACCACAAAATCAATTGCGCGGCTTTTACTTTTCAAAAGTACATCTAAACCTGCAAGGTAAAATTTTTAGTTGTAGTATTATTGTCATATCGGCTGTAGACATTAAATAATTTTTATGTCGTTTAAAACGACAAGTATTGGAAGCGGATTAAAAAAGACACACAACCGCAACCTTACAAGTTGAGACAGACCTTTTTTCGTCTAAGTATTGAAACTCTAATACAAATGAAGTCTATGGGCGAAAGTGATTAAAACTAGGGCATTATAATAAATTTACGAGAATCGATCAAATTACATAGAAAACAAAAGACAAATATTATCAAAAATCTTTGCATCCTTGTAGGATCTGTAGGTTTTTGTGGACCTGATGTATTCGACATTGTTTTGGTATTTTAAAAACGTGTGGACTCTATTGTAACGGTTTACATTGTTCATATCTGTCAGAGTCAAGATTTATTTTGTTACAACTATTGAATTAGTAAGCAGTGTTCTTGTTACTTGATTGAACCTCGTATTATCTAATTGTAAAAGCCCTTCAAGAATCATTAATGTAGTCATGCATCGTCTTATATAATAATACTGCACTCAATGAAATAATTCGTATGCTATAACATTATAAAAGCAAATAATAAGCAAGTTTTGCAAAATCAAACGATTTTTCACTTTATTAGTTACAATACTATGTTAAAACCTTCACCACACTCCACTACGCATGCGAATTACCCCTTCACTTAAAAAAAAGCTTAGATTTCAACTGGTACAAAACCCTAAAAGCGAATGTTTTGACGACATTTTCAACAACTTCTTTATCGAAAGAAATATCTGAAAATGCGCAGTACGCATATATTTGATAGTCACTATTGTAAGAAGTAGTATTAGACATCACATCACAAAAGCTTCGGTAAAAAGATTGGAAATGTACCAATAAAAACCGCGTACTAATAATACAAATAAGAAAACTGTATTCTTACATTGCTTTAAAAGATCTCATTTTGCAGTAAAATACAACAAATACAAGGATTAGATTTAATTTTAAAAAGAAATAGAGTTCGGTAGATTTTGGCACATTTCCGTGAAAACAGCTTCTAATTAACAATATGGTCGATTTGACAACACACGCAGCAGAGCAGACTCAATACGCAATATCATAGGTATGTAGATCTACAAAACAATAAAAACCGATAGAGAAAGGTGTGGTAGGTATGTGATATGGTCCCGCTGGCCGCGCCCGCGTCCCAAGCTTACCGGTGTGCTCTGTGGCGAGTCCCACGAGCCGGCGGACGCCGAGGGCGCCGCGCCCCCCACCACACCGCCGCCACCTACGTACGTACACACGATACATTGTCCGCACCACACTCCGCCACACGCCGCAACACTTTGCCACACTTCTCCACACTTCGCCACACTTCGCCCTATTCCGCCACACTCCGCCACTCGCCTACATGCCATTGCCATCCTACACCTCCCCTCTCCACTCCTCCGTCATCTTACTTCTCTTCTGTTCTCACATATACACGACTATTTACAAATATTTCACATCCTTCCAATAGCCATTGAAATAAAAATTTCTTATAGTAAAAGTTGTTGATATCCACACTTGTTGATTATTGATAACCTTATATAAACATGAGAAAACTTTAACATATAGCTTGAAATAGTATAACTATTTAGTCCATAAGAAACTGACGATCACCTTATATAAATGTTAATTCAAAATCATCAATATTTATAAAAATACACAAAGTTTCAATATACGCTAGGTTTCCAAAATTAACTTAACAAAGATTGTAAGAAACTTAATAGTCAAGAAAGAAAAAAAAAATAAGTACAGAAAAGTCCACAGCGTGAAGAAAGAATTGATAAAGCCTTTTATATCCAATTTATTGACGAAGAAACTCGGTTGATGTTTTGCGAGAACCGAAATTATATATATATATATATATTCTTATTCTTTATATTACATATTCTTTAAAATAAACACCCATCAAGTTACTGTGAAATTAAAAAGAACAATTGTTACCCCAGTGTGTTAATATAATATGATATCATTAGTAATATGTTAGTAACGGCATTGATTCCACAACGCTCTACAGTTCAATCGTGTATTCCAGCCATTATTACAGGGAAAAGTCTACCACATTGACTCTTTTTTATACAAAATAATATCATTAAAAACTAAAGATTTCATGTTAGAAAGTGGTTTTAAATATCAATTTTTAGCAGATCATATTTTAATCCTACTACGAAACACAACTTGAAATTCATATTAGTCAAGGTAGTAGAAAATATTACAAGGAATAAATAGTCGTGAAGAGATTAGAATTAGTTAAAAATAGTAAGTACAAGGGCTTACTAACCGGAGGCGGCCATGTCGAAGGTGAGCAGCTGATCGATCTCGGGCGCATGCATGGGCGCGTGCATGTCGGGGCGCGCAGAGCGGGCGCCCACCACCGCGCGCAGCTCGTTGCGCACGTACTCAGATGTGCCGCCCGCCGCGCCGCCCGCCACGCCCCCGGACACGCCACCCGACACGCCGCCCGACACACCGCCCGACACGCAGCCAGTGCCTGAACCTGCACATCGCCAAATCACCACTTACTAAAAACGATACTCGATTAATATTACACTATACACAAAGTTCATAACGATATAATTTTATAACAGGATTAAATAACTAACGTTTGTAGATTGTGAACATTGCGCAGGGCGTCCATTTTGTGAACGAGTTACAGTTCTGATTCTGTCATAGAGTAGACAACATTTTATGGCTAATTTAAAGGTTTTTTTTCTATTTAAAAATTAACGAAAGCTTATATTTTCTCTTTCTTATAGGTACACAAAAGTAACGTTCAAACAGTAATAATCATACTACACTTTACTTGTAGTAACTTTTTAAAGTTGTAAGGACGAAATAAAAATAACTCATCGTATTTATCATACCTTAAAGCTTTTGAATACTGGTTGATCAAAATTTTCTTTTTTACATGTTTTTTGCATGTACCAAAAACGTTAATTTGCAAATTTTTCGTAAATTACAATTCTAAGCCTAGCCCGCGTAAATACTTGAGTAAATACCGCGCCAACAACTAAATCCAAAATATAAAGCAGAAATAGATTTACAAAAGCATTGTTAATCGATGTTTGAACTCACGTCCGTAAGCTTTAATACTGTAAATACTAAAATATTTTATATTGTTCAAGTCAGCTGAAGCATTAATATTATCATGCACAAAACTAATCATAGATTAATAAGGAGAAGAAATGTTAATATTTTTCTTACATTTTACACATACAGTTCTTACCTCTGAGAGGCTATACTCTGATATTTAAATTTCATAAACTTATCTTGTTATTCACAATGTTACATACGATATCTAAAGTTATCTGATACACGATTAAGTACAACATAGACCAAATATTTCTGAGTCCGCATCGCACATGCGCCCGTAAAACATTTGCTAGCAGTAGTCTCTACTATATCAAACAATTATTGTTTCCAATTTTCTCTCTTATACGGCAACTATCAAATTTAAAACTATTAAATGTGAAAACTCAGTATTTTTTTTTCTGAAATAAAAATTTATATTTTTTGATAGGGATACATTAAAAATAACTTGACCTTCAATTAATATTTTTTCTCTATAGTCCTATAGGCTTGGTTCCAGGATGATAAATACTACTGCTAGCGTGATGGTGGTGGTGATGGAGGTCCCTCAGTGCGTACTTACAGGACATGTGTTGTTCGTGCGGCGCGTGCGGCGGATGCGGCGGGTGCGGGGGGTGTGGCGGGTGCGGCGGGTGCGGGGGGTGCGGCGCGTGCGCGGCGTGCGGTCCGTGCGCGCCGCGCCGCCCGTACTCAGCGCAGTACCCGCTGCCGCTCGCCTCGCTCTCCTCATAGTAGCCACCCACTGCCACACACGCCGCGTTATCAGACGCGACAGAACGCGAACAAGTGCCGACTGCCGAACCTACGACCCTCGACCTTCGACTTGCGACCTACCTAATCACTCGCGCCTTCCCCTTCCCCAATCCGCGGCGCCGTGATGCGCGCCTGCTCAACGCGACCTCATCGATTCACAGCTAAACCGACTTACAAACTCACACTCGGGGCGAAAAAATGACGCAAATCGAATATATTATGCATGCGTCTAACTTTTTCAAATACTATTTATTCAAACTTCTAGATTCTTTCGAATACTATAGATTCTTTAGAATACTAAATATAAAGCTATGTATAGACATGCAATTAGTAATTATATTAAATAAGATTCGGCAACGTTTGTAAGGTATAAAAGAAGGCCGAAAAATTTCTAATACACTACGGGCATGCTGAAGAATCGTAACCCTCTCTAGCAGATCATGCTTCGAATTCAGATAAATCTAAATAGGGAAAATTCACATCTACCTTCAAAATTAGTATTCCTAATGCGGAAGCGGATCAATTATTAATTCCATACTTATAAATATTAAAATCACCGTTTATTTAAAAAATAACTGTTACAAAAATGTTTCAAGAAATCTAAAATCTACAAAGACCTAATGAAGACGCGGGGTAACAAAATCGCCTTCAATGGATCATTAGAATTGAAAATGTCTACAATTAATATAAAACTAGACTGAATGAATAATTGATAAGATAGTAAATAGAAGTAAATGTATTGAAGGCGGTAGTGTGTAGTGTTGTGTGAGGTGAGGCAACTGACCGAGGTGTGGGGGGTGCGGTGGGTGCGGCGCGTGCGGGGGGCGCGGCGCACGGTGGTAGGGCTGGTGCGCGAGCGGCGTGTGCAGCGCCGCCGCAGAGTGCGCGTACCCAGACCCAGACCCCGACCCCGGACCGGAGCTCTGCAACGCACACACGACAATCTCATTATTTATATTTTAGTAACATTATAAATATCGATAAAGTCTTATTCGTTAGTTGAAAATAAAAAAAAAATGAAATTGAGACATATTCTTAAGGTGTTGGTCATGATGAACAAGGTGATATTCAGGTTTATGCACGATAGATTGATTCTTACTATTCATGATTAAATAAACATTGTCAAAACTTACACCAAGCTGTCGGCTAAGCATTGGATTTTGTTGAGACGTAGGGATTTTATTTGTACCGTAATTTGAACCCATTTGATCTGAAAAGAGAAAGTTCTTCAATAATAATATTTAAAATACAACACTGCATTCCTTTTTAATAGTAATTGAGTGAAAACAATATTCGTCATTACCTTCAGGTCTGCGACATTCCAAAGGAAATATGAATCGAATGTTAATATTTCAAAATTCGCGAAGACATTAATGAGACAATGAAAAAACATCCACCGATAGACAAAGAGCTAGTTATGGATCAGAATCATCATCATCAGCTCACTATACGTCCCCACCGAGGGGCTCGGAGCCTACCCTAAGTTAGGGGTGATTAGGCCATAGTCAACCACGCTGGCCAAGTTGCGGGTTGGTTGACTTCACACATATCTTTGAATTTCTTTAAGATATGTGCAGGTTGCATCACGATGTTTTCCTTCACCGTAGGAAAGTAAATTTCATACATCTTCCGCACGTAATGTTCTATGGGTCTTGGTTGCAGTGATATATAATGCCAACCTTAACGTATTTTTTAATAGAAAAAAAAACAGAGACAATCATAAATATGTAACAACTGCAATCGAAATTTACAGTAAGGAGTCTAAGTTTAATCTGAGATCCATACTTTGATGATATACATGATGGTAGTCGGTGCGCGTGAGTGCGACGTTGGGGGGCGTGGCGTTGGAGACGAGCGCGTTGATCGTGGAGCCCAGGTCCGCCTGCGACTGCTCCGTCGCCTGACACAAACATGATACAATCAAAACCACAAAAAAAAACACCTTACATTCATCATTGTACATTGAAATTTGAATACAATACGTATTCTTTGTCATTTTTAAGAAATTTGTATAATAATTCTTTAATGAATCATTACCTTCGCTTTTGTTATGGTACCACCTAAATACCGAGTAATATTAATATTCAAAATATTCATATGAGATACTGTTGCCTAAATTAAATCTAATATGGCACTATCTCACCTTTGATATCAATATTGGATCCGTGAGATTGATCCGAAAATTATTGCAATTACTTTGTATGACATGGAGTATAAAAAAATTCTATTGCGATCTTTGGGTCGGTTTTTGGATAAGCTCTCATTGTTCGAGAGTGGAATAATGATTTTGACAATTTCGAGTATAGTGTAGTACAAAGGATACGGAGTAAGATCACTGCGCAACGCACAGATGACCTTGAGCTGGCAATATTTTTGAAAAGAGTTTTACCTCGGGCGAGACGAGCATCTGCTGCGAGCGCTGCTGGTGCAGCAGACGCACGCGGTGCTGCTCCACCAGGGAGCGCGAGTCCTCGCCCCGCCCCATGCCGTACATCCCGCTGTTGCCGCTGCCCATGTTGCACGATATCTGAATCAAAACAAATTATAATTAGAAAACAATAAATTTTACTTTATCCCCATGATATTCCAGGGACCGTGAATCGAATAACACGTCAAAATCTGTCAGTCTGTTCAGACTACATGAGATCACAGTTTAGTTAAATGTGAAATAAAAAAACTAAATATGAAAGTTTACTTATGATTTTTTTTATTAAAAACCAATGATAATGAAACATACCGGACTCTGCACAGAGTACACTGGGGGTGCTCCTGGGCTGGAAGACACGGGGATTTTGGAAACCGCTTCGTACTGCATCAGACTTTGGGTTATTGCGTTGATCACCGCATTCTTTTCTTTCACACCCTAAAACAAATTACACTTTACATATTTGAACGTGGCATATGTCTTATTTTTAAACTTACTGTATTGTTTTTAGAAGAACACTGGCTAATTTTTAAATTTGAACACTTTTTTGCTAGGACAAGAATGACTTACAGTGAATTCGGATCTGAGTTGTCGATTCTCCATGTTCATGAGAACGTTAACGTCGGGCGCGGGCCGGTCAGCGTACGGCATGTTCTCTATCACCTCGTCCAAAATGTAGGACAGCATCAGGTCACTGGGCGCGTCGGTGTCGCCCCCGCCGCCGCCGCCGCCGCCGCCGCCGCCACCGCTACCGCCGCCAGAGCTCGCTTGACTTCGCGAGTTGTCGTTCCTGAAAATTGTTTTACTTATTAACTTTACAATTACTGTATGCACTCCAAATGACTGTATCCATATAATCTTACTAATTTTATAAATGCGAATGTTTAGATGGATGGATGTTTGTTTGAAGGTATCTCCAAAACGGATCTCTCTGAAATTTAGCATAGTTGTAAAGAATAGTCTGGAAGAACACATAGGCTAGTTATTAAGTTTGTTTTTAATTTTGCGCGGACGGAGTCGCGGGCGACAGTTAGCGCAAGATAAAAATTCAATAATATTTGTCTTTGAAACTGCGATTTAATCGATCAATTTAAAAATAAAAAAGCACCAAATAGTTTTTATATTCGACCACCTTTATACAATACACTTGTAATGCTAAGGCTGCTTGGTGTTACGAGGTCATATCCAATGAGGTCTGACCGTAAAAAATGTAAAGACAAATCATACTAATACTATTTTTTGAAAATGAATATACTAATTAACAATTATGAGCGCTTATTTCTTACAATTTAATAAATGATATACGTGTTCGTCGACAGAAAAGTTAATAACTCTAGTAATATTTTTTTTATTATAGCATAAATTGTAAACAGATAAATAATGGACAGTAAAGGAATCGACGCAACCGTCTTGTGTTGAAAATCTTTTAATGTGCAATAATTGCTTTATCAGTAGTTATCAGGCAACCTACATTTTGTTGCATATGAATTTAAACATTCTTCATTTCTTTTACATTTTCTCTCTCATATCGTCTTTATTTACTTATAAAATAATGCTTTTAGTTTGTAATTTTCATCTAAATAAATGATTCTGTTACTGGACATCTGAAGTAATAAGTTTGATCCCGAAGCAAAGCAATACTTTAGTAATTAAGCATATATTTGTGACTCACGAAGGCTGACTATTGTAGGCGTGGTGCGGCGCGGTGTTGGCGTAGTGCGCGGCGGTGGGCGAGTGCGGGTAGCCGGCGCGCGAGCTCTGCAGCACCATCTGCAGGTGGCTGGGCACGCTCATGCTGGCCGTGGTGCAAGTCGCACTGCCCGCGTTGCCCGACACCCCCACGTTGCCCACATTTCCCACGTTGGCGACGTTGCCCACACTCGTCGTCACCGGGCCCACGTTGCCGCCGTTCACGTTACTAGCTCGACTACTGTACACACAAATGTAATAGTTGTAATATTAGAGCTGTACCAGGACGTTAAAACGTTTATTTAATTAATAATAAAATTGAATAGAATAAAACGTAATTGTTTGATTTTTCTTTCAATAAAGTGTTATAATAGACAATACCCTATATGCCGACAATAGAATTCAAATATTCTATAGATTTGAATTGTAGATATTCATCTAATATTACAGAAAAAATATAGTATAACATTAAACTATAAAAAGTTCAATAGAAACATGTTAGATTTGTAAAGAGATACTTACTGCGGAGGGATCATATTAGTTAATGTGGAATGATGGTGTTGGTGCTGCGGTATGTGGGGAAGACGCGGGCGCGGCACCGGGTCGTAGCCACGCAGGTTGGGGGTGGGGAAGGGCGTTGCCTGCTCCAGCAGCGCCACAAGAATCTGGTTCTTCTGGCGGAGTGGCCGCTGCGAGTTGCTGCTGCTGGTGGCAGGGCTCGCCGCCGTCGAGGAGGCGGCTGATGAGGCGACAGGGGCCGCGCTCGAAGTCACCTAAATCACAAGAAATAATTAATGTCAAAGGCCTTTTTATTTTTGATTTATTCACTTTTCGATACATGAAATAATAAGACGAGTATTACCTGTTGGTTGTCAGGCGTAGCTCTCTTAACGTTTGTGGGCGTCTTATTCTCCTCATACTTTCGCTTCATTCCGATTCTTTCGAGGTAGTTATCACTGGTGTCCTGGGAGCGGCCGTTGCCGGAGGGCCCGTTGCTGGGCGAAAGTAACTGAGAGAGCAAGGCGCACGGTTGTGAAGTTCCACGAGTGCTATCCGAAGCGTTTCTTCGATTTTCCTCATTATCTTCATCGGATTTTTCTTTTAATATCTGAAATATATTTAGGGAGTAAATAAATTTTTTAATACACCGTGTCCGCCAAAAAAGTATTTAATAAAGAGAAAACAATTAACACTAAAGAAAAATTATAAGATACTTAAGAATTTTAGTCATAAAGCACCGAGTGATGTATTTACAAAAGAAATGTATAAAACGGTTGTTGTTTCTGATATTATTGACGTGTACAAATATATATATATACCTACCCTGAGTAAAACTTCCGAGTTGTTATGATGAGGTTGCTGCATGTTGTGTGGCGAGGGCTGATGCGGCATCGCGTGCGGCGCGTGCTGTGCGTGCGGCGCGTGTGCGGCGTGCGTGGTGTGGGAGGTGTGGGCCGCGTGCGGCGTCTGCGGCGTGTGTGGCGTGTGCGGCGTGAGCGGCCCGTGGGGCGCCAGCGGCCGCGCATGCGCCTGCGCGGTGTGCAGCGGGGACAGCGCCGTGCCCGACGCGTGCGGCGTGTGGGGCGTGTGCGGCGTGTGAGGGGTATGAGGCGTGTGCGGCGTGTGCGGCGCCGACGTCTCACTGCTGGTCGCCTCCTCGTCCTCTTGGTTGAGCAGATCTTTTAGAATACGATTGTTCGAGTTTACAGAATCGGAGATGCCAGTTTTTTTACTGAGCAAGCTGCGAAGACGATTGTGCTCCTCGCCCGGAGCGGAGGACTGCGATCCCTCGTTGGAGGGCGGAGGCGCCCGTAGCGCTGGCGGGGTGCTCGATTCTTCACCGGCCACCTCTTTTCTGTCCTTTGTATCTTCGCAGGACATTTCTCCGATTTGAAAGCCCGGGGTCCAAGATTCGAGATCGAAATCGTTGATAGAAAATTGGCCATCCGGGGGACTCATAGAGGAGCGATATCGCGTCTCGCAGCCGGAGGATTCCCCGTTCGCGACGGAAGTCATCAGCGGACCGCCAACGGGCGGTCTGGAACCGGCGACATCCAAGAGGTCGACTTCTTCGTCTCCGAGTACGGTGTGCGTCGACATTATAAAGTCGGTTTCGACCGAGGTCGATTGCGCCTTAAAGAGGCGCGATAGAGCACTGACTCTGAAGGGAGGTTTATCGGCGGCAACGCGTAACCGAAAGGGCGCACTCACTACCGGCGGCCCGGATCCGCACAGGGCCTCTTGTAAATGCGCGGCTACGCGAATACGATCACTGCTATCGACTAGTTCCAAATAACAAGCACCCACAAGTGACAGGGGAGAGTTTATACAATTTTCCACTCCACTTAAATCGCAAGCTGAAATTAAAGAATAAAATGTCAAAGTATTAAACAGTGTTCAGTTCACTTAGCTTAAATCAAAATACGATACGGAGGGTATAGGAGTCTTACATAAAATAGTATATTTGCAGTCTAGTCTGAAGATGATGTTCTCCGGGAGTTTGTTAGTGATGGCGGGCGGGCCGCCGTCGACTGGGAGAAGTGCGGCCGACGCGTCCTCGCAGCGCCGGATGACGCACATGACGGAGCCGGCCTCCTCCGGGCACGAGCCGCGTACCGGCGCAGCGTGGATCACGGCGTCCACCAGCCTGCTGCAAACCTTACTAATATACTTCCTATTTCACACATTTCATTACACTTGTTAGCTTTATTGAAATTTTAAAACAAGGGATTCCAAACAGGCTTTCACTGGATTTCATCTGTGCCTTACACTTAGCATAAATGAAACTCAAAGTTTCAAACCTCCATATTCATGAGTATTCTTGGTGATTCAACCGTTTGGATTCGCGCTACTTATGCAAGTCATTATAATACGTACCAACATTTTTTACTAATAGTTAAAGCAATGATCAAATAGTTATAAGATTATCATTCTGTTATGTTGTTCTACATTTTAAAGTCTCACGGTAAAAACCTTCTTTTCATTCTATATATTGCATTAATTAAAGAAATTTACTATTGTTTTTGGATTCAAAGGAATCCGCTGAAAGCTAAAATATTTTTTTTACGGCAATTAAAAAAATAATAATTAAGTTTAACATTTGATTATGTAAATTTTACATTAAAGGTATTAGGTTATTTTGATATAAATTTTAGGTGTACGTATAAGTAAGGTAAATTCACAACACAGTATGTTCATTTACCTCACTTAGCATACGATACGTACCCAGTAACGTCACTAGCATTTGGACTTTTGATAAGAAGATGAACTTGTGTGGCTTGTAATTTGTCGATATTCCCCGTATCCCAAACCAACGACTGCGAATTTCTTAGTAAAGGTTTCAATTTCGCATGATCGCTTTCGTGTAGAAGTGAAAAGATCGATTTCTTGTACAATTCAGTTCTGTCGACATTAATGAGATCTTTTATATTTTCTGACACGCATTTGATTTCCCCATTAGTATTTATTTCTAATAGGACCCAGCCCAGACTGCTAGTGTAATGTTTCAGAGCCTGTAAACAATGATAATACAATATTAAAGATCTTACAACTAGCATTTATGTTGTGAGATTGTGACACTAGTAGATAAACATGTATACTTCGATGAGAGTGTTGAAGCCGTTGTAATAGAAGCCGGCGGAGGCGCCGTGGGGGCCGGCGGCAGGCTGCGGCTGTGTGGAGCTGACTTCGCCGGCCTGCACGGGAGAGCGGCGCGCGGCGCGGCGCAGCGGGCACTCGCCAGGGCAGTCGCGCCTGCGCCTCAAGATCGCCTGGATCTCGCGCGTCGCCTCGCGTACGATGCCGTTCTTATCCGGCTGCTTTAATTCCGCCAAGCAGGTGCCTAGAAGCTCCTCGAGCTGATTTATGGTCTCGTTCTCCAGCTCCCGCCGCCTTTTTTCGTTGTGACACTTATTTCTGAAATAAATATTGACGCTCAATTTTTGTATAAGCAAAATATTCTATTATACTTATATTATCGATCTTATTTCTAACCCGGATCGAGATAAACTCAAGTCTAATGGCGAGGACTAAATTATCGGTAGATTACGATAACGCTTACTTTGAAGATGAACATAACTCGTAATATTCATGATAATTAGTTTTTCATATATTGACAAGTAGTAAACAAAGTTTGAATTATAATTCTCAATTTAAATTGATTTATGTACAAACCAATGTGAATACATACTCGCAGAGGACTCAAGAAGTTGTAAAAGAGTATGAACTAATGGATGAAAAAAAAAGAAAATAGGTACCTACTTTGATATCGTCTTTGCAATATCAAGGCGATATGAAAAGAGTTGGTGAACAACAACAGTAGCACAGATTGTAAATTGGATTGGAGCGATGTAGCAACCGTCGTGGGGTTACAAAACGTTAAGCAACATCGCCGTAGATTAGATAAGGAAAATGGAGAGGATGATTTTTTTTATATTGTCACAAACTTGCTCAAGCACATCACAATGACTAATCACTCACCGACTCAGAAATCTACACATAAATTTTATCGCTGATAATTTCTGAAGTAAAATGATAATATCCAAAATATATCCACTTAAGTTCAAGTCCAATGCAGACACAGAAGATAGGTGTAAAAATGAAAAGATTGAATTCCTATTCCTTGTTTTTAACTACATGGAGTCAAAGATAACGTTGAAAATCATCCTTGATTTCTCTCCGAAATAGTAACGTTCCTACATGACGTCTTAAAGTCTTTTAACAATATAATATCTGCATATTTTTCGCTTAGAATCTGGTTAACGTGTAAAGCTCTGCGCTCAATGTGAATATACGTAGGCGGCGATGATCAACAACAATCACTGAATCGCTTCCTTGTCTTAAGATTTCATAGAAATGAGGATTTATTCCTTAATAAATTAATAAACCTTAAACGTGCTGAAGGCCCAATTTTAACCCACGTTCCCTTTCTACCCTTTTCTTATAAGAAAATGATAACAAGGGGAAGTGGATTTGACGGAACTAGCTATGCATAAGAAGCAAATTAAAGGTGGGCAACGTAATTGTCTTCAATTTCACATGTCCATGGGCTGCCTTCGCTTCGCTATTTCGGCGAATTCAGGTGGCCGCTTCCTCGTTTGTCACTCCGTGAAATGAAAGATCCATTGCGAAACAATAGTCGTATAATTTCATTTAATATGACACAGTTTAATCTATACAAATAAATAATATAATTAGACGGTAGCAAAAGACAGCAAAATTGCATAAATTAGTGATGACATAATTTGTCGAAGAATAGAGAAATTGCATGTGACTGCAATAACTAAAACGTTCTTAAAACATAATAAGTGTAATTTCTCGGCTAAGAATGCATAATGTTGAAGCACATTATGCAACAGCGCGTGCACTTCGTACCGATAATCGATGCGTAAGGCACGCTCTCGATTGCTATGCGTATGTCACCAAACAAACGTGAACGCCGCACGTTTGTAAATGTCCTAGACAAATGTAAATATTAGGGAAATTGTAGCGTAAATTAATGCAAGAGTCGTTTTGAAGTTCTAATTATTCGCCTTAGTTCCCAGAACACACAGGTTCATTAAATTACTTATTAGCAATATGTAAAATAGGCTGGAAATGTGTGAATCAATCCATGAGCTAGGTGCGATATAACTAAATTATATCCAACATATGGAATTAACAGAATAGAAAAACAGACTATTGAATGACAAACACCTTGACAGACTAACCACGCTCCAGATAACACCAACAAGTCTTTATGTTTTAATAGTTCCAACAAAACACTACAGGCAGCTAACACAGTGTAATGAGTAATTTATTAAAGCCTAACCAAAAATATAAGAACCCTTTCACGAGGACATCTCAATCACCATTCATATTGCAACACTTTACATCTACGTCAATACATCTAACGAACTAATGTCATTTAAAATTTAAATCGAGTATTTTAGACGTATCCAACGTAAATTGCCTACACTTTTTTCTCAGCGGCTATAAATATTTTTCAGCATATATTAACACATGAAATTATCACGAATTCAAAAATTACACAGCGATTACAATAAAATCCTTTGACAACTTGAAGAAAATAATGTCAATGCCATAGCAAAGATTCTTTTAATAAAATTTTTGGAATTAAAAGAAATGAGTTCCACAGGTTTACCGCAATATTGCGAGATGTTCTATTTTTCTGGCTAGCCTATACTTACTTTTTCGAACTATCTAATCTTTTATTTATCATCCGATACAAAAGTAACAGTCGAACCAATTATAACAAGTGCACGATAAGAGCGACTTTATGAAATACAAGAAAAGATCATTGCATCTTTTACAAGAACATTAAACAATTGACAGTGATAGTAAAAGATAAGTTGGCACTTTATTAACATTATGTTTGTTGAACTTGTCGGCTTGGAAAATTATTTTTAGATATTAAAAATAGGACTACAGTATTCATATGCATTTCGCATAGTGAGAGTAGAAAGGGTAAAGGGATTTCCGATCACCCGGTCTAGAGTTCGAATCCTGTCATTCGACTATTGTCGTAAACCATATCCTAGCACAAGCATAGAGCTTAGCTGAAATGGTACAAGAAATATTAGTAAATTGACAAAAATCTGCTAATATTTAAAAAAAAAAGCTGTAGTCTAAAAAAATCAATCAGCTTGAAAAGTCTACTGCTTTCGTAGTAATTACACTACGCAAATGAAATCGCAAGCATCAGCTTGTCTGTCTTAAGCTAAGTGAGTGCGTCCAATTGTTTACAAATACAGTACTACAACAAACGACACAATGACATCGTTTAAAAATAATTGCAATCTAATTTAAATCAGTCAAAGATTGAGATCATCTTTTGTACTGTTGCAATATTCGCATAAGAAATTCGAGCCGTTATGTACTTAATTGAAGAAGGCAAAACTAATTACATCGTCTACATTTATGCAAGTATCGAATTTATGATTCAAAGCCTGATGTATTGTATGACAATTTAACTGAAGCCAAAGGGAATCAAGATCGAAGCTGATTCATCGCGTGACATATATGATTACTTTCACGAGCATCGCTCATAAGTAACATCATCCTGCTAATTGAAGTAAATATGACGACTTATTACGGTAAATAAGAATTTAAAAAATGTGAAACGTCTCATCGTCTCGCCTTGTGATCGCTTCTTCAGATAATGCGATGAGGGCGTATTAAAGATATAAATATGCTCAAAGATTTTGGAACAACGGTATACTTCGGTACAAAAAATAAGACACTGACAACGTGGTCAGTTAAGGTGACTCCTCATCTGGATAGATCTTAGAAATATTTTAAATGGTCCATATGGATATCGGCACCTAAAATATTTCTTACAGCAAAAGCCTGTTGCATGATGATGAATTAAGAAAACAGAGCATATCTCCTATGTTTAACTAAAAAGCCACAAATATCTCATTTAAAATTGAAAATTCACGTTACCCGGGACAACAAAATAAATATTTATGCGTTCAGACAAATTAGCATGGGTTTAGGTTTTACTGAATTGTACATTTAAAAAGTCTCTCTGCACGATGGACTCCTAATATAGAAAATGCAAGCGAAATTTATACTGCATGCGAGTCACTTAAATTTCATTAACGTCCCAAATTTTATGAATTCAACAACCAAAGTCTATTACTTTATCGTTGTATGGTAACAGCATAATAACACGTTTTAATAATGGTGAAAACAAGTCGAGTCAAATTTATCCAGAAGTAAATAAAATCATGTTTTGAAGGTCGCTAAATAGGTTTAAGAATTGATATGAAAAGTTACGAAACGTTGCGATACAAAAAATAAGTACATAATTGAATTTGAGTACACGCACTTGCGTGATTCACGAATTGCTTTTGGTTTTAAAAGAATAAAAAATGTTCGGCACTATATTTAAGGGCTATGTTACGACCATAATATTATACATATATACCAAAGTTTATACCGTTAAAAAAAAGCTATCTTATACAGCCTCGGCCTTCGTCCGTAAAGTTCTGATAAAAAAAACTGGAATATAGTCTTAGTTTACTCGCTGATAGAAGATTTCAAGTGGAATGAACATTTTCGAATTAGATTTTGTAGTTCTTTATTTTGTCCGATAGAAATAAACAATAAAATCAGTAAAATATTTCAATAAATCAATGCAGATGTATAATATGTATGTGAGTTGTGATTCAAACAAAAGATTTTTTTCATCTACAAAAGTAAGCACATGATAATTCTTCTCTCCCTGCATGTTTCAACCATGACTTTAAAATCACTTTTAAGTGACTAGACCTTATTTAAATACAAAAATAACTTAAAATTATATTACTACCTATTGAACCAATCTAATACAGCTTTAGATTGGAGAAAAAAATATTGGTAAAAAGCCAGGTTCGTCCGAAAAAGCGTAATTTAAAATTTCATAATTGCTTTCAAAATAATAGGGGATTATCAGTGTAAAGCATGACGGTTTAACATTGGTTGTGACCTATCCTAAGCGATGGTTGTCGAGACGTCCGAATCTGCCAGGATGTAAAGTAACTCGATCTCCGAATAACGCGGCTGTTTTTTTATCGCTATAGAACTTTAGGAACATAAAACCGATGGGTCGCGGATTGATCGTTCATAGCATACCACAGTGCAAACTCGATTAACCGGACTAATTCGAAAAATCGAAAAGAAAATCTTGTTTTATTCATACGTAGCACATACTATTTAAATTGATCGATAGTCAAGTCAGATGCGATTAAAGGTATGAAACATTTTCACTCAGATTTAAAATACAGCGGATAGATTCGCTTTGTCACCATCTGGTACGGCGGTTTTGGGAAAAAAAACATCAATATATGCATATAATACATACGTACTTTTTAACATAACCAAAATGGGGACCAGCGAATATTGTCCGTTTGCTGTTGAAAAATTGCTTAACATATGTCAATGTACAAACAACATCAGTTGTAGAACCAAAATGTAAATAGATTTTATCAGATATGTAATAAAGTATTTTGATTTAAAAAGGTAATATAATTTAGATTGTTGGACATCAAGTAGGTCTTTATGTAATAATAAACAAATAATGTATTATATAATAATGTCACCCTGTAATGTAATAATGAAATTACGCCTAACATTTATAAATGAACATCTCAGAACGCATTATACGTACATTTGTGATTGTGGCTTATTGTCTGACTTTTTTCTTATCTTCTTAACCGGCGTTGTCACGCTCATCTTGCCTTGCATCCCCCTCCATGTGTCTCCCGGTTGGAGTTCACAGGATTCAATTCTACAGAACCAGCAAACAAATATCGTTTAATTAAGTTATGCTCATCGTAACAAAGATAAATGATGTATGAAACATTGATGGCCGAACGGTAAATAAAATGAGATGAAATGCAAGGATTTATATCGTCACTGATTATTCCTCATCTGCTTCATTACTTCCATCATGATAAACAAACGATTGCATTTTGTATATGTATATAAAGCAGAACAAACCTAAATCATTGACGAATGATTTTTTTTCAATTTAATACAACATTTAAAGCTTAGGTAGGAAACTTAAAAAGTTCAAAGCGAAACGAAATTACCGGTAAATAGGTAGACAATTCTATGACTTATTATTGTGCAAATTAATGTTGTTACCGCGTGAGTCATGTTTACTGTTAAATAAATTTGACGTGTAAGCTCGCCGGTGTATATGTAGGTTTTTGTTCGTGTGATCATTTACTATAAACTCGAACGTTATCAAAACAAGCAATTACATATATATACACAATCATAATGTAAATCGTATCGTATAATATCGAGTTATATGTTTAAGGCGAGGATACACACATATCGAATGCCAAGTGCAGTATAGGTTGTAGGCTAATGCGCAAGAGGGACGGAGATAGCAGTTAAGCGACGCCTACCGAGGAGCCCCACGACGCAACCTCACCGCGACGGCCGGCCGCGCAACCTTGAAATAATAATGTTCCGAATAACAACGCTCCATAAGCGTGACCACTGTAATAAATATTCGCCAAATTTTGGGGTCCCTAACTAGGCCCTGAATAACATGGCAAGGCGGGACATTATACTTGGAATATCAAAACTATTATTATTTGCACAACGGGTAAAGTTATGCTTGTGTAAATATGAAAAACTTGCAACATGAAATATTTAAGTAACGCACTAAACAGCAAGTGTCTTTCAGCCGCGGCCAGTGAAAACGAATTTGGTGAAAGTTGATAAGTATTGAAAGCGTTACGCGATCGAAGATTTCGCTTTTTCAAATGTTACTTAACAGGGTATTCGTCATACGAGACGCCGCGCCGGCGGCGGAGCGCTGCCATCGCGCCCGTGCCCGTACCTCACCCTAATTCTACTTCACTGCGAAGGTTAAACGCGTCGTAATGGTTCTTTTTTGTAAGGTTTTTGTGCTAATACGGAAATTGAAAGCTTGAATTTAAACGTAAGGCATTTATTATTCATGGTAAGCGAAAAGGTGGAAAGTAGTGTGTAGATGGTATCTAGGATAAATTCGTTTTGAATATTTCGCAATTCCAGTGGACAGGAAATAATGTGGTCCCGCGACCGTTGACAACGGGGTCGTTAGAATTGAAGGCCAAATTAGGTAGTCCAAAAACACTTGGCAACAGATTGTTTGGAATCATTTGGTAGGAGATAAAACTACAACTTTCGAAAGTTGTCACTAACTATTGTGTAGAATGTGATGGAAGGAAAAAGTAATGAAGTTGTTAGTTATGACAGACACTTAAACTGCTGATTAAATCTTTGCACTTAATGCTTATCAAATTGATACACCGTGACACGAGAGTTACATCGGAACTTCATTTAATGTAGATAAAACGCACGTCATCGACAAACAATTTGGAAACAGTATGATTGCGATACAGCGACGCGACTTCCTGCACCGCGTGCGGAGCCGGCGCACTGCAAAAATCATAGCGTGCCGCCGCGCTGTGTCCAAACTATTAGTGCAAGGTTAGCCCGCACAATGATCACATATTTTATAACACATATTTAACAAAATGCTTATTAGTCACGTTTTTACGCTCTGAAAAGTTACGAATATAGAGTTTTTATATCGCGAAATTCATAATCGTTTGTACTAAATAGCCTTACAAGTTTTATGTTGAACTTTGACCTGAGTTAACTTAATTTGCTTCAAGTTCGTTATTTACTATGTTACATTTCGGATATTTTTTTCTAATATGAAACGAAACTGAAAAGCTATCTATGCCAATTTAAATTCACGTTAAATGTGTCGATGTTTACAGTGAATCATGTAATTCTTAGTGAAAATTATAATGTAAGTAGCTAAAATAACCATGAATATAGATATGAAAAAAGTTTCAACCAAAATTAATTTTCATTAGACATCTTTAATTATTGCCAAAAATGTCAATAAAATGAAAAATAGATGCAAAATAAAAATATATTCAGAATTAGATTTTTACGTGTTGCATGTTGTAATAGACCTAGAAACAATTAACTATTTTAAACGTGCAATACCTGAGAGCACGTATCGCAAGCTTTGTACAGATTTGGTATAGCCCAATATACCCACACGTAACAAATTTGATTCGTAACGAGGATGGAACACGTATGGTAAAAACTTGTATAACTGGTGAATATCTGCCGTTTGGGCGAGCAAGTGAGCGGGATACCACCAGTGTGCCGTCTTGTATCGAGCGTCATAATGCTACGACGTAATTGTGCCAAAGCTAAATTGATTGAGTTTTTCAGTCTTAAAAACTACATACTTTCAGCTTTTTGCAACACAATAAAATTAGTAATGCTTGAAAAACAATCAAATACAATTTCACGTAGCAACATTTTATTGAAATAAATGTGGGAGTAGGTATTAATATTGTTATTCATACCGAAATAATATATTTAACAATAACGCAGATGTTGAAATGATATTCAACAAAATAGTAAAATCTCTACAAAAAATACACAACAGGTTGTCTATATAAATGCGTTACTGCGACGTATCGCCCGACGTACTTTATAAAAAAATGTTTTAATGTTAATCCGTTCAGTTATAAAGTATTGCCTAATAAGAACCTACCTCACTGGTTTACGCGTGAAAAAAAGAAAAAATGAAATTTGAATACGATGGATTTTACGGCAAACTTTCAAAAGCATAATTTCCAAAAAGCGAATCAGAAAAAGGTAAATTAAAACTTTATACGTACCTACATAACATAATTATAAAAATAATTTACGCAAATAGAATGTTAACTTCATAAATTTATAAAGTGAATCACGCGTCATTCACATGAGATAGGTACCTACCTACCTACTAAGAAGAAATTCCTTCTAGAGATTAAGTACAATTGGAATTTATACGTATGTATATTGTTTTAATACTACAATTTCCCGTATAGAGTTCAATGTCAATAAATTATGATAGCTATGATGATTTCGGTTCTAATGAGCATAATATTAAAATCAGTGACAATTACCTTTGGAGAGTATTCACAGCAACATCAATGTCAAAAAATATGTCAACTAGTTCTTCGACGTCGGAGTCCGAGTTAAGGGAGGGTGGCAATGTAGCGGGCGGAGGGGCCCCATCGACGGACTGGCCAGCGGAATTGAAAAGCACAGGTTCCGCTTGCACCATGGGCAGCATCGCTACAGGGTAATCCAGGACCACTCACTACAACCGCTGTCGAGATAAACGTCTCCCCGAATTAACTTCAAACAACACTGTCTGTATCCGCACCCAAACACACACTGCATTGCGCCACGCTTGCCGCGACGCTAATTTGTTAACAGATTTCCGAATCGCACACTAAATATATTGTATATCGTAAGGTAAGAAGTGTATTAAAACGTTTATAACTAGTTATTATAGCGAAAAAACGTGCACTGTCTTTATTACGCAGCTAATAAAGCAATGCAATTTTCTATCAAAATCCGTGCGAAACGTTCGCTACAAAACGACGATGAAAGTCAACTGAAAGACGAGACATACGTATACATACATCCTTGTCGTTCGCTACTTCACAAATTATCAACACGGCGGCGGCGCGATAGGACGCGGGCGGGGAGCTGTGCGGGGGTGCGCGCGGCGCGGCGGGCCGCGAGCAGCAGACCGACTGACTGAAGCGTATTGCTGCCGCAGTCGCACTCGCGCCGCTTCCATCTTGCCGAATGTCTCTCGATCTCACTCGTCGATCGTCGATCGCCGATCACCGAGCTCGAGACGTCAAAGTGCCATTTGACGAGTGATGCCGATAACATACCGGAGAATATTATTGAAATTAAGATAAATAATATATCAGACAAACAAAACTATTTACAATGTTACCATCGATTTCTCATCTTATAACCAATAACTATATAGATTTATTATTTTCTTTTGAATTTAATAGCTACATGAATAGATTTTATGCATCGGTCTTTTATATAAAATTTGATAAACTTAACAAATTATCATGACACATAAAATAAGACAAATACAAAGCTACGTAGGTACTTAAATTGTAAAGATAAGTAGGTAGGTAGCTAAATAACGATATTTTATCATGCACAGCGGTACTCTGTAGATAGTTAGATACATTTGTAGACATGAAAGTGAAATGGAGCAGTATTTGTGTCAAGTGCACAATTTAGATAACAAGGTCATTCGTTGCGTAACAGTTAGTAATTTTTAGTTTACAATACGTTGGTATGATAAACTCTCGCGACTTTTGACTGTATCGGGGTAGATAGTTGCAATAAATCATTATGCTTTTATTTCCGAGCTCAGCTAAATTATGTAGGCCACCAATAGTGAATTAAAACTCAAATACAAATGTAAATATTCCTATAAATATCACAAAATTCCTCAGCTGAGAATCGATCTTTAAACAAATTGTTAAATCGCTACACACTGAAACTGTTTCGTCATGAACAAAAGTATAAGGAATTTTAATATAATTCAAACAAAATATAAATTAGGTCAAATTAAGCGACAGTGTAACAAAAATGATTGTCATTAAATTTTCGAGGAATTTATATTAGCAGAATAATGATTAAAATTACTCATAAGTATACAGTATACGATGATGTAAAGTATAGAATAAATAAGAGTTGAGGTAAAGTGGTATGTAGTAGTAGAGGAAGAGCGAGGCGGCGGGCGGCGGGTGGCGGCGCGGCGCGTGCAGATATCGGTGCAGGCGGCCCCGCGGATCTATGTCAGTGGGTCACGGCAATGACGTGGCACACGGCCGCCGCGCCGCGCCGCACACAGCCGCGCACTTCATTCTAATTCCGCTTCGCCGGTGTCTTCGCTTACGACTCGACCCGACTACACTCCACAGCCGACTCTTTATGCCCTAATGTGACAACTCGACGAATCAAATGAAAATGCAAGTCGACGCAAATTGATATTAACAACACAAAGCTCCATAGTTCTTGACCATCGCAACATTATCAATGCATAAAATTCCGTAATTACATAAAAAACGTTTATGTTAAAATGTCCCAAATGGGTGTTCAATATTTTTTTGTTTATAAGTTTTAGATATTAAAAAAAAATCTAAATTACGATAACTCGTCATGCATGTAACACGCTAATTAAACGAAGGTTTAGCTCAAGTCTTAATGAAAACCGTCCTTTCGCTTTCATTTCACTAAACCTACATATTACCACTTTTCCAAGAAATATTGATAAATATTTTTTCCTCTTGTGTCATTTGCTGAGTCCTTTTTATTGTGAAATACATTAGTTAACGCAGTATCAAAACGTATTAATAACCCTGAATAATTCATCAGGTTTTCCCTTGCATCGGAATTTTATATTGATTGTTAGCGTTTTATACCAGATCATACTTGATTTAATCGCTTTATGGAAATACTGTTCGCTTGTGGCCGATATGTTCTACAAAACTAAGAATATTCAAACTTGTATAAATACAAATTATAAACTCGAGCTCAATCAGAATTATGATTCGAGACCTAAACTTCGTCTGCATTAAGTGATTGAACATAACTAGATGTCATAACAAACATAAATTTTAGACAAAAAGTTCCTTTTATCTTCCAAAAATAAGAGGAAAGCTACAACAATTCAATGACTGCAAATAAAGCATTCTTTAAAGAGAAGAATAAATTTTGATCAATGAACTGTATAATCCGGTAACTGAAACTACCTGCGTACCTCAACTTGTCTAACCATTCTTCCATAAATATTAAAGTCCTTGAAAAGTAGAGATAAAGCGAGACAATCATACTGGATGTATGGATGTTTGTGAGAAGATACGTCGATACCACGCATCTCAATAAAATGTGGCACAGATGTAAAAAAAATTGTCTGAAAAAACACAAAGGCTTATTACGAATTTTTCTATTAATACCGCACGGACGGAATCGCGTGCGGCAACTAGTAATATAAATAAACTGTTTGGTATATTTTCGAAATAGTTGGCTTTACTTTGAAAGATAAGGCGATAAATATTTTCAATGCCATCACATAAAGAACTAGTTGATAGTTGTTTAAAATACAAATATGAACTGTCAACTACAAAACATTGTGACAAAACATACATAGAAGAGAACTACAAGCTTTTTATTTGGGAACCTTGCAAAGCCGATATAGATTTACCAGAAATTTACTTTCAACAAAATGAAAGTAAAATCTTTACGAAAAAGATGATAGGAAAACAAAGAATAACAACGTTCCTATATTTAAGTTAAAATGAAATAAGTATGATAAACAATATCAACAAAATAATCGATGGTCTATTCACGGTCGATGCACTGATTTGTTTGTACTTATTTACATTTCTGAACAAAACAGATTAAATGAAAGTTGAATAGGCATTTATTGATCATAGTTCTTAAGTTACAAACCATATATCTTACTTCATATGTATTTCATATTAACAAAAGAATAACTATGTCAAGTTTATGTACAAATTACAATTACATGGCTTTATCAACACAACAAACGCTTATTTTTCAACATTTTAATATGATTAAATGTTTGAGAATATAAAAAGAGATATAATTGCACGAGAGGGATACTTATGCGTTCCTTATAAAAATATCTTCGATAACATGATGATAACAAGAAATTATGGATGTTCATTCTCAAGAGAGAATATGTAATTCGATGAAATGAAACAAGTAATGAGAATATAAATGGTACGATATATTGGTCGGGGAACGGGAGCCTTCTCTCCTTTATACAAACACAATGTCATAATTAAATATAAACACACATTGTAATTTGATTTTCTTACTTTAAAAATATAAACTAACACAATGATATAGATGATTATAAGCTTTTGATTCAAGCTTTTGTGCTTTACAAGCATTGATATGTACTATCATTGCATACATAAGTAGGTGTTACCTACTTTTCTTAAAAACTAAATGTATAGCATTTCTTTAACACGCGAATACGGATAAAACATTTCGTCTTTGCCGAGGAACCTAACTCGTTTTAAATGCAAATAGCGGAATGATAAGATTGGGTATAAGACAGTGAGACAGGTTTTTCCTATGTAGTTTATAAGGTGAACATGTTTGACGGCAAGGCGTAATGTTGTTTCGTGTTGTATTACGTAGAGGATCACTTTCGTTGTGAATAAAGCAGTCGGAGATGGCGAGTTTCGCATGACATGGAGAGTTGGCGGGGGCCGGAGACGAGAACGAGTTCGTTGCGTCACGTGGGCGGGCAGATCGATGGGGCGGCGGGGTAGCGGGGCAGCGGGGCGGGAGAGCGGCAGGGCGGCAAGCGACAGGGCGCAGGGCGGCGCAGGCGCGAACACGATACTCTCTCATATCGACCACAACTTTCAATTGAAGTCTTTTGGGGCAGGTTAGGCCTATGCTCCGAAGGGTCAAGGTCACGTTCTTTTCCGTTGAAACAAGAGATAACTAATTATTTAACACTACGATGGCAATATAGAATACTATTTTAAATCCGGTCTAGTAAAAATAGCTTAAACGTTTTAAAAATCCACAATTTTAATTTTACGGTACAGTTGTTCAAATACTGGGCACCTAAAAGGTTAAATTAGCAAATTTTACTGCAACTGTATTGTTATAAATTAATTGCACTACAAGTAATGTCATACAATGTAAAACATAAACATATTGAAAACGCACTCCCGCTTCGTTGTTGTATAAGGTTAAATGTGAATCATTCGCTTATGCCGTGTCATGTCTTTTAGAAAACAGCTCATAACATATTATGTTGAATTAAATATACATATTTTTTAGGTAAACAATTTATCCTACCTTGAATAAACATACATAGTAACACTCAATGGTTTGTTATCCATGTAAACGCTAAAAGCTAAGTTCACATTTGCATAAACAACCAGTACTATTAAGATTTGTTACACAAAGATTTACCTGCTACTAGTACCTACTACCTTTCGTCTCATTCGTGGTTGAAATATGCGTCATTAATATGACAGCTGTTTTCCTTAACCATCTCAGTCAAAATTTAAAAAAAATTATGGCAACAAACAACAGAAGTATTTCCATAAATCTAATGAGGATACATAGTCAGTGAAATTCCAAGCGTGTTCCAGTATACGATATTTTTAAGCTGCCATAAATAATGTATATGACAATACTTATTTCCCCTTCAATACAAATAGAGGCAGCAAGAGTGTTACTCGTTCACTTTTATAGCCATAACTGCAATGCTGTCATAGAACGAGTGTCTAATCAGTTTCCTGTTTCGACAATTCAGGAGTAGCTATCTTTTTGTCGACCGACAGACATATCGCATTATAGCAAGATATAGCCTATTTAGCGATATGTATGGCAAGGAAAAGTGATAACCGTCATCTCGTTAGCATTACATTGTGATAACAATTTAATAGCTTAAAAAACATCCACCAACAAGTAACTTTGACGCTTGCGTTTGCCAAATCTGCGAAAGGTGCAATATTTAATACCAATACAAAAGCAAGTTACAATTTTTTATAAATTAGGTCTATGCTAAGATCGTGTTAAAAATTGTAACGTATTTTTTTATTTATGCATCAAATATTAGAGTATAAATGAAATAAGGTATCCTTAAAATCACTTTCGAGGCAAAGAGCGTCTGAATTAAATCTAAGTGAAAAATGGATAT